ATAACTGTTATTTCTTTATGTTTTTGAGTTTATCTATCTATTAATAGATAGACATCTATTGAAAGGGCGCTCCCCACCGTCAAGTTACACGTAATTTTTCCAACCAAACCAGTACTTACACAACAAATCAAGGATAGGTTACCAATGATGGGCTCCTCCGCTGGAGCTAGTTACATAGGCCATACTCAGAGGGCTTTATACTTGTGTATTCATGAACATCTACCAACATGGTTGGGAAAAAGAAATCACTAAATCGATTAACAGTACCACTCTTTCTCACTTGGTAGATAGTGAACATCATATTAAAATGGATGAAGCTTTCTTTGTTTTACATCAAGTTACAAAGAATCTACCTGAAGGGGCTGGATTACAACTACTCTACATATCTGAAGCCATTTAGATCAACTCTAGAAAACCGAACTTATGCATTCAAAAGAGATATATCTAACCTCTCTGTTTACCTTGGTCCACGACTGGATTACCAAATACCTAAACTAGACATTATAAACCTCTTATCCCCCTCCCGACTCCTTTAGTGTTTATATCATTCTAGCCCCCAAATGCCCTGGTACGGCCGAGAGTGGGGAGAGTCACCTCTCCCTCTCGAAATGCTCTCACATGGCCAAGCGAATATATAGCCTCTGCCAGGGAAGTCCTACTCACTGCCATCTCGTGGCACTACTGTTGTTTACGAAATTGAGAGGAAGAAAAGCGAATGTCCGGCGCTATAACCGGATTGGTGGACACGAAGGGTCCACCTAGGGGAGTTGGAAAACTCTGATTCCAAACCAATGGTGTACATGGGCTCCAGTATCCTGATGGAACGAATGGCGGAAGAACCTGTCATTGGTCAACGGCAACCATGGGACTGCATCTCCTCACGATGCTCTACTGCCTTGTGGATCAGACCTTTAGGTCAAAGGCTCGGGGTGTGGCCCCCTAAGAAAACCACCTGCTTCGGTTTGGGCACCCGGGCAGTATCACAGCCCACACACAAATGAATGAAATTATGAACTCTATTGACGATAATATCCCTGGTCATACTAAAAGCAAGACAATTAACATTATTATTATTATTACTATTATTATTATTATTTACCATATCGCTAACTCACCCCCTTTTATCCCCAATTTGTGTAACCTTATTTTTCAACTTATGCAGCAGCTCGCCCATGGTGGAAAATCTGTCCTATCTAAACGATCTCCAGTCACTGTCTGGTTGAAAGTGAATGCTTCCACCGATAATGAATACTGAGGCAGTCTTTCTGAAACCACGTACGCCATTCAAGCTGGCTTCCTTCAACGTTCGCACACTAATGCATATCAGACAACAGATAGGGCTGGCTATGTCTTTGGAAGGTCTTAATGTTGATGTTTGTTGTCTATCCGAGACCCGTATTCAAGACTCTAGTGAAGTACTACAAATCCGCTCTCCATCTGTCGCCTCGAAGAGCTTGTTCCACGTGCGCTTATCCGGGGACCCTGTGGCATCTTCGTCTGGTCTTGCTGGCGTTGGTGTCGCACTAAGCGCTAGAGCTGAGGCAGCACTAATTGATTGGATCCCCATTAACAGTCGGTTATGTGCTGTTAGATTAGAAAGTTCCATCAAAGTGATAAGAAACCGGCGTGAGAAACGGTGTCTTTTCGTCATCTCCGCCTATGCCCCGACAAATTGCGACCCGGATGCAATCAAGGATGAGTTTTACCACCAGTTAACAGTTCTTCTCCAGAAAGCGCGTTCGACAGATATTGTAGTACTAGCCGGAGACTTGAATGCACAGGTCGGGCGTCTAGGCACAGAAGAGTCGTCTAGGTGGCCGATGTTCACGTGTTGGTCGCCGGACAGATAACGGGGACCGTTTGCTGCAACTGTGCACAGACCACAAACTGTTTCTGGCCAGCACTAACTTCCGGCACAGTCATCGCCGGTGTGCCACCTGGCGTCCTCCCTCTGCATCCCAAGCCTGGACTCAGATTGATCACATCGCGATCAGCTACCGCTGGCGTGGTTGTGTACAAGACTGCCGCTCCTTTTGGAGTACCTATCTGGAGTCTGATCATGCCCTGGTCTGCGCCAATCTCACCTTACTTTTCAGTGGCCGAAGGATTGACCATCACTAACGGGTTGATGTTAGTAAAGTGGCTGCAACTTCTGTTGCAAGTAAGTATCGAGCGGAGCTAGCCTCTAGGCTAGCTAACACCCCACCGAAAAGTATAGATGAGCATTGGTTGCATCTTCACGACGCCATGAAAATGGCGAGTAAAGCCGCTTGCGGCTTCGCGAAACGTCCCGCTTACAAGCACTGGGTTTCTTCTGGCTCCTTACAACTGATGGAAGCCCGTCGGTCTACTCCGGGTGACCGTGAGTTTGACCACAAACGAAGGCTGTTACGTAATGAAATTGGGCAAAGCTTGCGTAAGGACCGGGAAGCCTGGTGGTCGGAGCGTGCTAATGAGATGGAAGCAGCAGCTGCATCTGGTAACTGCCGGAAGCTCTTCCAACTCATCCGAGCCACTGGCAGCAAGAAGTCTGGTGTGAGTGAAACAATCTACGAGGATGACGGGATGCCAATCACTAACATCTCCCGACGTCTTGGACGATGGGCGGAATTTTTCGAAGGGCAGTTCAACTGGCCTGCTGCTCCGGCAACATCAACTAGCTTGTCCTGCACCCCATGGCCGGTGACGACTGATCCACCAAACGAGGCGGAAGTCCGCAAGGAACTCCAACTCTTGAAACGTTACAAATCACCGGGCCCAGATGACTTACCTCCGGCTCTTTTTAAAGATGGTGGTGACTTTCTGGCTAAGGAACTGACGGTGTTGTTTGCAAACGTTTGGGAGCAAGAAGGTGTTCCAACATCATGGAATGAGTCGATAGTCGTCCCTATCTTTAAAAAGGGTTCACGTTGTTCATGTAACAACTATCGGGGGATAAGTCTACTTCCGATTGCGTCCAAACTATTGGCTTCTATCATTCTTCGTAGGTTGTTTAAAACCCGAGAACGATTGACTCGCGAGGAGCAGGCTGGTTTTCGTTCTGGTCGAGGATGCATTGATCACATCTTCACCCTCCGCCAAATGTTAGAACACCGTCATACTTATCGCAGGCCAACAATCGTAGTGTTTCTTAATATCAGGGCTGCCTTCGATTCGTTGGACAGGACTGTTCTCTGGGATTGTCTATTGAAGAAGGGTGTGCCTGAGAAGTTTATTAACATCTTAAAGGCCTTGTATACGAACACCTCAGGCAGAGTGAGGGCATACAACCACCTTTCTCCCTTGTTCCGTTCGAGCAGTGGGGTTAGACAGGGTTGCCCGATCTCACCATTCCTCTTCAACTTTGCCATCGACGACATCCTGGAAACAGCTCTGATGGATGTAAGTAATGGCGGTGTGGATATGTTGCCTGGAGAACGACTTCTCGACCTTGAGTATGCGGATGATATTGTCTTACTGTGCGATAATGCCCAAGGCATGCAATCAGCACTTAATCAGTTGGCAATCAGTGTCCGCAGGTACGGCATGTGCTTTGCACCCTCCAAGTGCAAAGTACTCCTACAAGACTGGCAGGATTCTCATCCTGTACTCACCCTGGATGAAGAGGAGATCGAAGTAGTTAAGAAGTTCGTGTATCTAGGTAGCTATATAAGTGCTGGTGGTGGCGTGAGTGATGAGATCGATGCACGTATAATGAAAGCCAGAGCGGCTTATGCCAATATGGGCCATCTTTGGCGCCTTCGTGATGTTAGTCTGGCTGTAAAAGGTCGGATCTACAACGCGTCGGTGAGAGCAGTTTTGCTCTATGCTTGTGAAACCTGGCCTCTCCGAGTTGAGGATGTTAGACGTCTCTCTGTGTTCGATCATCGTTGTCTCCGAAGGATTGCTGACATACAGTGGCAACACCATGTTAGTAATGCAGAGGTTCGGCATCGTGTGTTCGGGCGCAGAGACGATAATTCAATTGGTGTCACCATCTTGAAACACCGACTTCGGTGGCTTGGACATGTTTTACGAATGTCGTCCTAGAGACTTCCACGTCGTGCATTATTTGCCGACCCTGGGACTGGTTGGAGAAAGCGGAGAGGAGGTCAGTGTATGACGGTGTCGTGGCATGAAAGAGAGCTGCAAAGGGTTAGCTTCTGTTGGTCCTTCACGACTCCCTGGCTTGGGTCCGAGAGATGGTGCAACACAGTGGCTAGAGACGTTATCAGATATGGCTCAGAATAGAAGCCAGTGGCGATCCTGCTGCAACCTTCTTTTACTTTCTACATAAAGAATGGTTCTAACTTTCCTAACTGAAAGAGTCTTCTGGTTGTACATTTCAGCCCGCCTTATCTTTTCATCCCTTCTCTTCCTACTTTCATTATTTTGTGTGGCGCATATGTACCTGGTGCCCTTTTGTACCAATATATGTGTTTAAATAAATAAATAAATAATATCTTTCTTAATCTGAACATCCATCTTTCCAATTCACATGAATTACTTTTTACCATAATTACCTTTATTCGACTAACAAGATAAATTTCTCCTACTATGCACTTTATTCACACGATTATTTCTCATTTTCGTTTTATTATATTACTATTATACTGATCGTAATTTGACACTTTAAATCATTCTGACCTTTCTAATTTACAAACAACACAATTTTGAAGTATTTATGTCGTAACAGATACAAACGTTCACCATTTTTAACATATAACATCGTCAAATTCATTAATGGATGCCTTATTTTGGTCCCTGTAAAATATCGTAATTATGGACTGCAGAGCCTGATTACAAAGTTATTGAAAACAATTATTCACTCAAATATTCTTTATTTTTGAACATTCTATATAAATGTGTGTCATCTTGACTACATCGAAGCGATCTGCACAGAATCCACATATGCGAACTAAGACTGATCAAGTTTCAGACAAAATATCAAAAGCGGGATAGTCCAAACCATCAGCAATCAAATCAAAAAAAAATTATATCCAAAAGAACTTTTTTCTTACCAGGCGCATCAGATGTTTCAGTTTCACTGAATCTAGGTGGCAAAACATCCACCTTATTAAGGAAAGTGTCCAATTCATCGACTAACCCGGAATCCAACATTTTATTCACCCGCTTATTCAATTGAGTATTTAAAACGTCGGAAGCACAGTCCAGCCATAATATGAGCGACCCTCCAGGATATCGAGGTTTAATAGATCGATTTAACACTTGTTTTTCTAAATCTACATTTTCTATATTTTCATTCAATTCAGTTTGTGTTTTAGTTTGAACAGATTCTTTCAGAACATCGAGAAGTGCTTTCTTTACTTTACGAACATTATTCGGATGCAACTGTGCGGCTACATCTGGTTTTAGAGTACGCAAAAGATCATAGCATTCCGATGGATGCATAAAAGAAACTCCGCTGAAACAATGAAAATACGAAAAGGATGGAATATAATTTACTCCATAGTTCAGAGAATTACAAAACAATAACTTTCAAAATAATGAATAGTATTTGAGCAAACAATGAGATAATCCCGATCACTGAGTTACAGTTAACATTAGCAAACAATAAGGATGCTATGACGATTATTCATTTAATAGCACAATATACTGCGGCACTAGCCAAATGAACATTTAAACCACGTAATTTCAGAAAAGCTTTATCAAGTAAGAAAATGATAAAAAATGCACGGTGGTGCGATTTCACACATACATTTACAATAAACAAAAACAAATGAAAAAGAATAACTAACTCTTGATCGTAGCTGATACATTGACGTGGTGGTCGGGCTTGCCTATCGTGATGAACCAATCGAGCTATATTGGCTGAAACGTATGTTCCTGTAGGTTCTACCATGCCAGGCAGGTCGATTGGAGAATGGTAAGACTAAAAGCAGCAACTCAAGGCCTGAGGGCGAAGTCGTACTGCTAACTGTACAGAGGTATAACGTCAGTAAGGTGTTTCCCTCGGACAACCAGCATGACAGCGATGCTGCCTTCTCACAAGGAAGGAAGGGGTTAGAAAAGGTCGAGTCTCAAAACGTATTGCCTCACCGTACCTCATGGATTTCCGTCTCCGGCGGTAAGGCCCTTTGAAAAACGGAGCTAACACGTCAAAAATCCCCGACAAAAAGGCCGTGCGTGACCGGCCTCAAGCAGTTGTCCCTTTGGCACTGCGGTCGTTAAGATCAACACTAATCCAACTTCCTTTTCAGGTCCCTCAAGAAATACCCTTCCACGGTATGGGCAGCCGGGAAGTGATATTAGCCCTCATACCCGTAACAGCACACGAGACCAAGTTGGTCACTTTCAAATCCTTCCTACACCTGCTAATAACTTTCTTATCTCCACGACTAACCCTTCCCACGTCCTTTTATCACCTCGTACCGCTAGGGCAAACGATTCGAGTACGCGAAACGTTATTCCTGGTCTCCTGAAGCCACGCTCTAAACTACATGTAGGAACTTTTAACGTCCTAACATTGTGCCAAATAGGACAACAGGTCTCCTTATCTAAGACTTTAGAATCTCACACCATCGATGTATGCTGCGTCTCCAAATCGCGCACACAGAATCAAAGTAGCGTCATTCATTTGACTTCCCATATCAAAATAAAGAACCAACTCGATTCACACTTCGTGTATCTGGAAGCCCTGATGCTGCTTCCCGTGGTCTCGCTGACGTAGGTATAGCATCCCATCTGGCTCTGAACATAATGAAGAGTGGAGTCAACTTAAGCGCAGGCTAATAAGAAGCCTACGCAATGATCGCGAACAGTGGTGGGTAGCGAAAGCAAGATAGATGGATAAGGCAGCGACAATAGACAACAGCAGACAACTCTTCAGACTTATACGATATATCCGTCTAGCAACCAAAGGACGGGTTTACTGTGCAATAGTTTGTTCCGTCCTACTTTATGGCAGTGAAACGTGGCTGATAAGAGTAGAAGATATTCGTAGGCAACTAGTATTCGATCATAGGTGTCTTCGAAGTATTACTCGTATATCCTGGGACAACCAAGTAAGTAATGCAGTTGTTAGGAAACGGTTACTAGGTAAGGATGGTAAATCGATTGATGAAGTAGTGAAACTTCATCAGTTGAGATGGCTGGGACACGTGTTACGTATGTCCAACCACCGACTGCCCCGATGTGCAATGTTTTATGGTGTAGGAGTAGGCTGGAAGAAAGCTAAGGGCGGCCAGACCAAAATGTGGCACAAATCCATGAAGTCACTGACAATTGAACTGAGCCATGTTGGTAGGTGTAGACTACCTGGTTGGGATCCGCGAGATGATAGCAACCGATGGTTAGAGACCTTGAGTGACATGGCTCAAAATCGTTTGGAATGGCGAAGGTGTATCCACTCTTTGTGTTCTACCAAATTCTAATGATCTGAATTTTTCATGTCTCTATTTTTTTTCTCTTTCCAAATTTATTTCGCTGGATTATACTTCTTGAATAACATCTTCAAACCATAATCTTTCGGATTACTGCTTATACTCTTACTACTTCTACCACTATGGGATTTGAATGGACAAATACATCTCTGTGCTTATGTTGTATGGCAACTCGAACTGATGTACGTACGTACGAAGTTCTACGTTGTGACTGACTGACTGAGTTCTAAAAGAACCTGTTACTTATTTAAACACATAAACATTGGCACAAGGCGGCACCAAATACACATATATGCGCCACACAAATCATCATTTAAAGGGATGGCTTTCTAATTCCAAAAGAAAATTTTGCTTCAAGGGTTCGAACCCTAATAATTTTTTTCTGCGGTTAGAGATGTTATCAACAACTTACTAGTCCCGTGAACGATTTAAGTGAAGCTAACTCCTCCTAACTCGCGATACAAAACAACCAATTGCCACATCAAGTCCTTTTGCTTGGTGACCATAGTGTACAATCCGAATGCAAGTTTTACTTGGAATTAGGAAATACACTACATCATCGTTCACTATCTGATTACATTGAATTTTATGAAGTAGATGCAAAGAATTGTGAATGGAAAATACTTATGAATACTTCGAACTATCAATTTTAAAGCAACTAGTCTCCTTGATAAATTTGGATACTGTAATGAGGAGGAGATTATCAGAAATATGTAATATATCAGCGCAATACATTTCGAACATTGTGATCACATACATACTTGTTAAAGACATTTATATACAAAAAAGGTGAACTAGACAAATGAAAGGTAAAAGGAATGTTCTTCACAAGTATATATATATATATATATATATATATATATATATATATATATATATATATATAATTACCAGTGTAATTAACAGATTAAGGTACCTATCGAATTCACTTGTTGAGTCGGAAGTAGCACGTTTTGAAGCTAGAAAATCCTCCCATAAAATAGCTTCCAAATAATAATGAGTCCCACCAACAAGAATAGGTAATTTTTTCCTGATATTTCTTATATTTTCAATCAGAGGTAAACAAATGTCTCGATATGAATGAACATCATATCTATGTCCAAATTCTGGAGGATAGATCCCTATAAGATGGTGTGGGACACCTAAACACTCAACATGTGATATCTATAATGAAAATTAAGAGAGAGCACTAATTAAATAACCTTGCTTTTATAAACGGTCTGTCAAGAAAAATTTAATTTTCCAAAGAATGAAAATAAAATTGGGATCGTAATCTGTATTAGGTGGGAGCAGTCTTCCTCCATGTTTATAACACCTGGCTTCTCCAAGTTGAGGATGTTAGGCAACTCTATGTTATGTAGTAGCGAAGACATAAGTACGGGTAACTTGCAGGACCTACTATTGGACTATCATTCTTATTGTATAACTATTCGGTAACTAGATTATCTATATCTATATTCATTTTATTGTAAGCTTCATTTTTACCTATTGATTATTATTGTATGATTTACTGTTCCTAAGTTATACTCAGTTTTATTGATTATTGTCTCCCACGCTTACAGCCTCATTTGGCCTGGTTTTGTACAAATATTATTTTCTATTTTATGGTGTGGTGTGGTCTGCCTGTCTGGTATATAGATAAAGTATGCTTGAAATAAACGATTCGCATTACAGCAGCTGCTATTGGTGTTTTGGACTCAAGTGGACGGGTTAGGCGGATAAGGACCAATAAGGACGCTAGATTACTCATACTAATCGGACGTCATTGTCACAGTGTGAAGGTCGTAGAAGTCGTATTCTATTGGTGGACAATTTACGCGAATTACGTCCTTGTTAAATTCGTAAGGTCATAACGAATCAGCGACGACCTTGGTGACGGCTAGGTCAAGACATAACACTCTATGTGTTTGTTAATCGTTGTCTCTGAAGGATTGCTAACGTCCAGTGACAACACTATGTTAGTAATGCAGAGGTTTGGCAACGTATTCTGACACAGCGACGATGATTTAATTAGTGACGCCATCTTAGAACATTGACTTCGGTGGCTTGGACAGATCCTACGAATGTCGTCCCAGAGAATTCCACATCTTGCATTACTTGCTGACGCTGAGACTGGTTGGAAAAAGCAGAGGTGGTCAGTGTATAACATGGTGCCGTGGTATGAAAGAAAACCGAACAAGACTGGCTTCTATTGGTCATTCACGACTCTCTGGTTGTGGTCCTAGAGGTGATACAACTCTGGCTACAGACGTTCTCAGACATGGCTCTGAATACAAACCAGCGGCGATCCTACTACGACTTTCTTTTACTCTCTTCGTAAAAGTGAACGTAACTTTTTTAACGGAAAATTTTTCGGGTTCTAATTTTTTAACTGAACTGTTTTTTCCATTATTATCATTACTATTTCACTCACACTACTTCCTGTTCATTGTTGTCCTCTTTTATTATACGCACTTTACATCCTTTATTTCTTCACAACCTCATTGTTATTGTGTGACTCACTGTAGTGAACAAGAAAACGAGTGAGGACAATCGAATGTATTTAAGCGCAAATTACAGACTATCTCACTAAAATCTGACAACCATACAGTAAACAGTTAATTTGCAAACTATCAATCAATTGTCTCAATTTTGACTGTTCCTTCCGCAAATATCAATCCATCGTCTCTGATTTCATTGTTCATGCATTTTCATAGCAATCGCATTCCGTTCTCGTTCTTTCCTTATCGACTTTCTACTGAAATACATTCAATGCCCGACCATCGTTATATACTACTTATGTAGATATAAGTAGCCAACACCACAACACCAATATTTATGTTCAAATAAATAAGTAAAAATGATTAGGTATTACATCCACTGATATTACGTCTGGCTTTTGGGAACTAATATAATTTCTAAGTCTAACTAAATATCTGATTGGTATGAAGTTTTTGAAAAGCGTGTCAAGATGAATCCACAATCTTGAATAAAGTGATTATTTAGTTGGTTACGTTTACTTACTTGATTTGCAGCGAACCCTTTCAATCAACGAATGCTAGTAAACGGTGAAGATAAAGATATCTGAATATAGCCACACTTTTTTTTAAAATGTACAAGTGAGACTAGTCTTAGCATAGTAGTAGGAACCTAGAGACTTAGGTATCTAGAATAAAAAAAAGCTTCATACGACATTTATGTTAGCAAATAAACTAGTAAGTGATTACGTATGAAATGGTCAGTACTATATACCTCCATTATACGAATATTATTTCTGTAATTTGTAAGCTTAATAACGAATTGTATGATTATTTACTGCAGTTAGAGTCCTGCTTCCTGTTTGATAATGAAAGATACTACTCGGCAACCCGAACCATGTCAGTGAGGCAGAATTCGAATGTGAGAATTAATTCAAAGCCACAATGCTAAAACTTCTGGGTATTTTACACCGATTTTATACACACCTTTAAAGTAATCAAATTTAAAGCTATTCCATTGATCAACAGGAAAATCACATGAATAGATCATGAATTTAACTACTGAGTTAAAATTTCTAACACTGCATAATTACGGTGGTTATTCTGCATGACAACCCCATCTCTTTGACATTACACATGGTTGGAAATAATACTACGGCACTAAATTACTAATAAATCAGGAGAATCCTTCAAGTTATAATACTTACACCGCAATATTATCAGTGACTAAACTGTCATTATATTATATATATTATATTATATTTAAACACATAAATATTGGTACAAGGAAGCACCAAATACATATGCGCCTCAAAAATCATATTCGATTTGCTTGAGGACTGTGATACTGCCCAGGTGCCCAGACTGAAGCAGGTGGTTTTCTTAGGGGCCCACACCCGGAGCCTTTGACCGAAAGATTTGATCCACAAGGCAGTGGAGCATCGTGAGGAGATGCAGTCCCATGGTAGCCGGTGACCAACAATAGGTTCATACGCCATTCGTTCCATCAGGATCCTGGAGCCCATGTACACCATTGGTTTGGAATCAGAGTTTTCCAACTCCCCTAGGTGGACCCTCCATGACCACTAACCCGGTCAAAGCGCCGGACATTCGCTCTTCGTCCTCTCACTTTCGTAAACAACAGTAGTGCCACGAGAAGGCAGTGAGTAGGACTTCCCTGGCAGAGGCTATATATTCGCTTGGCCATGTGAGAGCATTTCGAGAGGGAGAGCGGACACTCTCCACTCTCGGCCGTACCAGGGCATTTGGAGGGGGGCGTTCAGACTAAACTGTTAGTTTATTTCTACTCTCCCTGAAATTCAAAACGAAGCAAATCTAAAAAAAACCCATAACTCACCTTGTTTGTTGCAATATCGATCCCACTATACAATTGAAGGGCATCGAAATTGACGACCTCACCTCCGAAAACGTTAGCGAGATTTACTGCTAGTTTTGACTTTCCAGTCCCAGTGGCTCCACAAATAGCTATAACAGGAAGCTGGCGAAATGAACTTAAGTAGCATGACTGCCCAAGCATATGAAGTAAAAACAGCCTAAGTAAGATTATCTTTCAAAATGCTATCTTACCGTGAACTAAAAGCAAAATTTGGCACGAAAAACATGCACCAAAACGGCGCTTGGACGGTATGCACAACTGAATAAGAAAACTAGTTGAGAATAATGAAAGAGTACCTGAAAGAGAGAAATCGGGAAGTAGGTTGCAAGTGTTTTACTATTATACATGTAGCTAATAAATGACATGATATGCTGACGGAAGAGAAGTTTTTTGCTATGATGGCCCGAAAACAATTGAGTTGTTTCAAAATAAAGTCATACCAGGACCTTGCAGTGTTGAATTTAAAGACTGTATTAGCAATATAACCGGGAGTCAAAGTGAATAAACTGGTAACCAACCATGGACAGCTAACCACTACATATCTGTCGAGAGTACGGCTTGTTAGATAAGTTTAGAATTACGACGTGAAACAGAATCCCAACCCTGCACCTTAATTACATACCATAACTTCAAACACAAATTTTAACTATAAATCCTATATTTACATCATAATCCTAAGGACAACCCAAAACTTGAGTTCCCTATAATGCTTTCATTGTTGGAAGGAGCCGAGACTTTTTCGGAGTCAAATTATTAACAACACAGTTGATGAGCAATAGTCCCGCAGTGAGACCATCGATTTCATCATCGAGGTGCTGAGGAAGTTCTGCTTCAACGTATCAGTTACAGTCTGGAGTGGACAGGAAACTGGGTGGCCTGCATAAGTCTTCGCAACAGTCTGATTCATAAAAATGCACGTTAAGGTCGAATTACGTTAAATTTTATTTGGTGGATAAAATACCAATCTACAAATGGAAGGACAATACAAATGTGATTCAGTATAAGATCTATACCGAGTGAAGACGTAGAGAATGGAAAATTCGACGTGAAAATAACAATCTCTAAAGCGGTGAGAATCTAAAATCGAGAAAACCGAAAGATACAAACAAAACCGACCAATGAGAATTACATGATATCAAGTTTAAAATTTAACATATGCCAAATGGTGGATAATCCAACGGTCATTCTTGGTTCACAATCTCAGATTACGGAAATCTCTCAGACTTCAGAGGAAAAACCTGCACCTTCGGGCATGACCAACAACCTCATGATGTAATTCGTTTGTTCTATGCATTTTGTAGCCCACTAAAAACGAATCTGACATTTTGGGCAACGGTAAATGGTGACTGGACATACAAAACAAATTTTATAACCGTTTTAGTCAACTAAGGTTCAGAATACTATTATCGACTCACCACCTTTATTTAATAGGTTCGGTCAAACACTGCTTAATTAGTGAATTCAATATTTGAAAGTATTTGTTAGAAACACATATGATTGAATGGATGAGAATTACTTGCATCTACTTTTAGTGGTTTTACATGTTAAAGGTACTACAGAAAAAAAAGATGTTGAGTAGCATTCTCCCACCTTAATACAAACAGATTCATCAACGTAACACTGGTAGTGTGAGCTGACAGAAACCTAACGAGCTATTTACACCTAACTTAAGATTTTATCAACCAGTAACACATCTTGACTGATGAGATCTACAAGACAAGTGAGATGACAATTCCATCTAAGTACACCCTTTCCTATCACTAATCAAGGGTTTGATGCTGAATACTCTTGAAACAATGTCTTAGATTTAGGGGGAGAAAAAGGAATCCCAGGCACGATGCTAGTCAAGGAGTTTAGAAGACTGCATTTTTGTCAGTCAGTCGAATGTTGGAGCACTCCTTAATTCTCAAACCTTTCAAAATAAACCAGCCAGTTTCTGGACCAAACGTTTGCCACCTTCCTTAAAAAAAGTTTAGGAGTAGGATATCTCTCCTAGGTGATTCATGGAGCTTCAGACTTTGGAGTTCCTTGATGACCTCCACCTCGTTAGGTGGGTCAGTCGTCACCGGCGACAGAGAACAGGCCAGTCAGATTGGCATAGTTGGGGCAGTAGACCAGCTGAACAGCTCCTAGCTTGGTTTGATATTTGGTTGCAAAAGAAGATGCAGTCAATACACTTACATCAAACGGTTTATGAAGATGAATTTTTTAACCACCGAAACGCGAGGTTACATTGGTGCAGACCAGAAGCATAGTCAGAGTCCAGATGGGTGCTCCAAAATGAACGATATTCCTGTATACAACGATGGCAGCAGTAGCTAATCGCAATGTGCCCAATTAGTCCATCACTGAGTTACGAATAAAGGGTACCAGACAGCCCACCGACGATGACTTTGTTGAAAGGTGGTGCTAGCAAGAAATAGGTTATCTTCTGCGCAAATCTACCTAAGACGGTGATCATTATTAGACATACAACCAAAACCTATTGACCACCCAAGCGATTATTCCCTAAACCTAGACGCTTAACCTATTTATTCGGATTTCTGGCTAGTACCATAATATCTATCGAACGGAGTTTCTTGAGATTATTTAACTAGTTGGTTGCAACTGGGCTGGGATCTGTCGAGCTGTAGGTAGAGATTACGTAAAGATATTATTTCACACACTGACTTCTCTGTTTGATGGAGCTTTCTAATCCTGCAGAACACAAATGATTATGAATGGGAACCCGATAGATTGATTCTGCTACTGTTATGGAGCTTAACAGGACACTAACGCCAGCCAAACAGGATGAACATGATTCGATGTCTACAGATAAATGTATGTGAAACAAGCTTTTCGAATCAACAGATGGGAAGTGAATTTTTGATACATTCCTTACCAACTAATATGGCTGATATACCACTAAGATACACAAACACTCCAACATATACTCTATATAAATATCTAAGAGGTATATTAATACCGTCTCGAAATAACCTACACATTACCACTAAAGTCTATTGTGATATCAAATAAAAAACTTCGAATTTAATCATTATTCAAAACGAAACGATGGTAAGCTATGTTGTATTTTGATATACTCAGTCGATTGACATGCCTAAATTAGGTAACATTAAGATATACTGCCGACCTTAGGACGAATCTTAAATGACCTTCAGAAATATTAGCCAATCAGAAGATAGTTAGTATACAGTTAAAATATATTATGCAAAACCAAAGAATTAAAGTGGAAACACTTCTTTTACATGGGTCAAAAACTTCTCAAGGTCAGATATAGGTTCAGAAATTCTAAAATCATAGTGCATACGGTACAGGAACACATCCATATGGCTCCATAGTAGTCGACCTCTGAAACCATGATAAGGACTCAAAAATTCTTTTAGCCCCGACCACATAGCTTCAATAATGTTAGTATATTGGTATGGTTTACGGGTTACGGTTAGAGTTAAGGTTTAGGTGTAGGGTTTAGGGTTATGGGTGAGACTATAAGTTATGGACAAACTTTGAGCGACGCTAGAGTGACTCTGAGAGTGTCAACATAATAACTAGGACCAAATAAGGGTTATAAACCTGTGTGAAGAATTCAAATTATGATTTCCAGTCCATGATTAAGGCTAGGAATTGTACTTAGGGTTTTCATCACGAACTGACATCAGCTATAATGCCAAAACTCCATTTATCCAAATGGATAATTGAATTTCGCGCCAAAATCTTATGATGACTTCTATTGTAGACGCTAAATTATCACGTCTTCCCTAAAATCCGCTGTAAACCGACCGTACATAAGCATCAGGTGCCGAACTTAGCGCCGTGACCTTGAAAACCCGCGAAAGCTTCTGATTGGCTCAGCAGTATAGTTTAATGTTACCCCCACCAACATACCGACAACACTGAAACTATGTGGTCGAGGCTGAAAGAATTTTCGGGACTTTATCATGGTTCCAGAGGTCGACTACTATGGAGCCACAGGGATAAGTTCCTGTGCCGGATGCACTATGATTTTAGAGCTTCTGAACCTATATCTGACCTTGATAAGTTTTTGAGACATGTAAAAGAACAGTATCCCCTTTAATTTTTGAGTTTTGTATAACATATTTTTACTGTATGCTAACTGTCTTCTGATTTGCTAATATTTCTCAAAGTCATTTAAGATTCGTCCAAAGGTCGTCCATGTTCTTTAGTTTCGCCTGCAAAATCTTTTAGGCTTTAAACCTAACCCGATGAGCGTCAAATATCATTACATTGTAAAAAAACATAATATCACTAGCACTTCATGATTTACTAGCTTCCTATGCGTATTTCGTAAAAATTGTTGGCAACTTAAACATTTAAAAATCCATTTCTAAAAAGAATTCTACGAAATGTAGTGTCTTTAAACACATAAAACTGTCTTGGGTTGTGTTAGATTGACATTGTGATAGTAAAGTTAAAACTTTTGATGGTGGAAATAAATAATTCGGACTAACTTCAGGAATCAGCTGATTTGTGAAAATTATATAGTACAATCACATTTGGCCATGTAAAGCAACGCACATAGTCAAGCTTCGAGTATATTTTTCAGTTTTCAATATCACGAAAATCTCATTTGGCAGCCTGAAAACATTGAAATAATTCGTAAGAGATAAGCAGCACACAGTGCCCAATTGTGATCTGGTGAACATGCTTGACCTATCTTTTCAACCGGGAGTATGTCAAGTGAAATTATTAAGGTCAGCATATGTGTTAAGAACTTACAAAACTATTTATCTTGAGAATTTACCTAGCGCTACAAAGCCAACTCCATTTTGAATCTCTTTCATCATCTTTACAGATTTTCGAATTAAGTCTCAGAATTAAGTCTATCTCACTCTGTGACTCGAAATTCATTGTCACTAATACTTGATATCCTTGGCTGCGCGCTATTTAAAAAGGACAGTGGTATTTTTCCTCGTTGAGTAAATTCTATTGTTTCAATCGTTATTAACGTATCAAGACTACTGTTTTTATACTTTGATTGAATTTCTTTCAGGTAAAGTATTCTATTACAGTATCATCTTTGGTATCCTAAATAGTTTTATCGTCGGTACTCCAGAGTACCTTTTTTTCCATTGTGTCTGTTAGTACTTTGGTCCTAACTGTTTATAGTTTTTTTTTTCTACTTGTAGTCAACACTCACTTTCGCATCCTAAAATGACTGGAAGATGCAACAAAAGCACTTGCCACCGCCCAGGATGTCGATATCCTGTTGATAGCGGCATGCAGTGCGATGAGTGCAAAGGTTGGTACCACGATGTTTGCACGAATCTAACACCTGCAGCTTTCAAGCGGTTCAGTAAAAATGGGTGTGTATGGCTATGTCATCAGTGCTGTTTGGATGCAAATAGCCTGCTAACCGAGGCCATTTCAATAGTAAATGCCGCAAAAAAGTGTCTCGGCAAGCGCGGTCGGGATACATCAGTCAGAACTCAATCTGTCGACACGCAGATTGACACAAGGCAGGCCCAAGTGAGTCCAAAAACTGCCGAACCACACTCTACTAAGGAGGAAGAACATCCTCCAAAGAGGACTGTTACAACCAGAAACTCGCGCAAAAAAGTCTCTTCTGTCCCTCGTATCAAAAATGGTACCCAGAAGGGAACTTCAGGAAGCCGAAACCGCAAGGCTCGATCGGTTTCCAGCGCGAAAGATGACCCAATCTCCCAAGTCGTCCTGACTCTTACGGAATCCCACAGTTCGCCTGACGCGAATGTGATTACCACTCCAAAGAACGTTGGCGATTGGGTACGGGTCGTAAGAAAAAAACGCCAAAATGACGTAAAAAGAAATCATACCCCCACCAAAAGGGTCGACAAGCCGCGGTCTGATCACAGCGACAGATCAGTCATTCTCCACAGAGTCAAGGAGAGTGACAACTTAGAACCGAAAGCTCGTTTTGAGCATGACATTGTGTTGATAAAACAACTACTCAACCAAGTTATGCCCAAAAACATCCCCGGAGTCACCTTGCTAAAGGTGTATAGACTAGGAAATCTAGCGCATCTGAAAACAAATCAGTCTAGACTACTCAAAGTCGTTTTCAAATCCTCAAACGAACGCGACTTAATCTTAGAAAATGGACACAAAGTAAAGGGTTCAGGAGTTTTTCTCCGTAAGGACTTACCGTTGGCGGACCGTGTTAAAAGACGGGAAGCCAAAAAAGAACTACAGCTCAGATTAGACGCTGGCGAAAAAGACCTGAAAATTGTAAATTTTCGGGTTGTGAGGCTTCGACAGAGGATGATGCCGAAGCCACTCTGGGTGAAGCACGAGGCCACCTAAATAGGCTTCGGATCTGTTATACCAACGCCCGGAGCTTACTAAATAAGCTACCGGAACTAGGTGTTCAGATTGACTCAACTAGGCCAGACATAATCGCAGTCACAGAAACATGGCTGACGCCGTTTATAGATAGTAGGGAACTTGATTTCGAGGGTTTTACATTGGTAAGGGCCGATAGAATACAAACGCGTAAAGGAGGGGGAGTAGCTCTATTCATTAGGAATGCTATTCCATTCACCATTATCGACAGTGTATCCCATGAGAGTGGGACGTATGAATTAGTTTGCTGCCGCCTGAAATGCAGGGGACAAGAGTTGCTACTTAGTTTGATCTATCGCAGTCCAAGCTGTGAGGCATACGAGGTCCTGCTAAGCAGTCTCAACACTTTATCACGAAGTGATCGATGTCTAATCCTAGGAGACTTTAATGCACCCATGGTGGACTGGGGGAATCTGCGGACTGGATCGTCAGCAAACTCCTTCGAATAGGAACTAGTTGATGCGGTAATCACATGTGCCCTAGTGCAACACGTGAAGGAAGCAACTAGGTACGACCCGGGTTCTGCATCATCCTTACTAGATCTTATATTGACTCATTATGAGGATGATGTTGCAAACCTGGATTACATGCCACCCCTAGGCAAAAGTGATCATGCAGTTTTAAGCTTTGACTTCCATATAACCGTCGATCACGAGCACACTTCAGCTCAATCCAGGCCTAACGTCTGGAAAGCAAACATAGCAGACATCATGAAATCAGCATCATTAGTAGATTGGAAATTAGACCCAGAGTCATCAATCGAAACGGCTTGGGACGTATTCCGGAATTTATACTTAAAAGTTACCACCCCCACATCCCTTGGACTACACCTAAGAGACCGAGAAACTCCCCACCGTGGTTCAGTAGGGAGGTTCGCATCCTTCTCCGTAAAAGAAGGAAAATGTGGGACAGATTTAGGTTACTGGGGACTGACGAGGCAAAATCTCAGTATCAAAAGGCTCGAAATACCTGTGCCTCGACCCTCCGTAAGGCCAGAAAGCTGTACGAAGAGAAAATCGTTAGGGAATCCATAGAATGCCCTAAACGCTTGTATTCGTATATAAACCAAAGGACAAAAAGAAGAAGAAATGTTCCTTTACTATGGGGAGACAGTACTGCCACATCACTAGTGGAGGATGACTTTAGCAAAGCTCAAGTATTCTCTAAATACTTTAGCGATGTATACACCATAGAAACACCCTTCTCACCAGTCCATGAAAATCCACCCACACAAGCACTGGACAGCGTAACCATTAAAGAACTCGATGTCTTTGGTCTGCTAATTAAGCTTGACATAGGTAAATCCACTGGACCCGATGAACTGCATCCTAGGTTACTAAAGGAATTAGCTAACTTTGTTGCGAACCCTTTAAGTGTATGTTTTAATCTATCCGTAACCCAGGGTCGTCTACCAAAAGACTGGAAGAACGCCATAGTAAGTCCAGTCTTCAAAACAGGTTCAAAACATAAGCCTGAGAATTACCGACCAATTAGCCTAACTAGTGTGGTTGTTAAAATCTTAGAAAAGATTATTCGGAAGGAGCTGTTAAAGTATCTCGATGAAAACCGGATCCTCTCTGAAAAGCAGCATGGTTTTAGAACAGGTTACTATTTTCTCACAAACTTATTAGTCGTTCGTGAAAGCTGATGCGCTCTTAAGGACCAAAAGTTACCTATAGACGTAGCTTACATCGATTTCAGCAAAGCTTTCGACAAAGTTCCGCATAACCGGCTGTTATATAAGCTAAGGAATGTCGGGATTGGAGGCAATCTATTGATGTGGATAAAAGACTTCCTAGTTGGGCGTCAACAAAGAGTAAGGGTGAACTCCAAGTTGTCTAGCTGGGAAACTGTGCTTAGTGGAGTCCCCCAGGGTACAGTTTTGGGGCCAGTGTTATTCCTCCTGTACGAAAATGATCTCCCTCGTCTACTATCGTCATCGGTCTTACTCTATGCTGATGATGTCAAGATATGGAGAGCGATACAAAGCAAGGGCGATAGCTTAGAACTTCAAAATGACCTGGAGAGATTATCTGAATGGTCCCAAACCTGGCAATTGCCGATAAACACTTCCAAGTGTATTGTGATGCATATTGGCCATCAGGGTACAGATACATACACGATGATAAACACTGAGTTACCTATTGTCCAGGCACACAACGACTTAGGCGTCATCGTCAGTCAAGACTTCAAGACTACTGCACACTACCGTGCAATAGCCGCCAAAGGTTTTAGGACTTTATGGTCCATACGTAGGGCTTTTAGGCATCTTGATGCTAAAACGTTTTTGACTTTGTGTGCAGTGTTCGTACGCCCTAAACTTGAGCACTGTATACAAGCAGATAACCCCTGCCTAAAAAAAGACAGTGAACTCTTGTAAAGGGTTCAGAGAACAGCAACTAGGCTGATTCCCGGAATAGCGAAGCTCCCGTATGGTACTAGACTGACGAAGTTAAACCTATTCCCGCTGTCATATAGAAGAATCAGAGGTGACTTGATTATAGTCTTCAAATTGCTTAATGACAAATTTGCACCTGATATGCCCTCATTTTTCTTGTCTTCCAAAACAGAAAATCTACGAGGACACTCCAAAAAAGTTCACAAGCCCAGAACGAATTACTTGTCAGCTGACTACCGACTTTCCCATCGAATAATCAACGAGTGGAATTCATTACCTCAGCACGTGGTTGAGGCTCCATCCGTCGACTCCTTCAAAAGACAATTGGATCAGCTGAGAGACCATCATTGCCAGGACTAACACAGGCCATCAAGCCTCCTGTCCTTTGCAAACTGAAACTGAAACTGAATTTGACGACAAACATTGTCCTAAAGTAGTGTAGCGGTAAACAAATCCCCAAATCAATAGCTATGTAAGTCTTCAACATTAGATGCCGATAATATTAGTTTTGATGGACTCACTCAGCTGAATACGCTCGGTCGTGCATCCACACCAGATCACGAATGAGAACGACGTGCTGAACATCCCCTGCAATCGCTAACCAGATTAGATCAGTCACATCTCAATATATTGATAATATAATATATTGATAATAATGAGTAATGACGTCAGTCTTATAAATTTTAATAGGAATCGCGTGACTGCCAATTGCACATCCAAGTTGTGTTTACGAAAAGTTTCTTCTATAAACCACTCTATCCTGGTGCCCATGCATTTTTGCTCCCACACAGAATGGCCAGAATATTACCGTGTGAATGCTCCAGTTGAATATAAAAAGAGCAGAACTACAACACAGATAAGAAAAATGGGCTGTCAAATGGTCCAGTCTCTTAGAGAAAACAGACTTCTTTGAGTCAAACATTCTAGATCTCAGTGGGACTCTTCTTGCGTTTTCGTCTTCGCTACGAACTGTGCTTTTGTTCGGTGTCAATCTGAAACAACTAAGGCCATCTTGTATTTTGTGTTTTACGGCCTGTAATCACACGTAAGCAGTCATCTTCACCTGCAAGTGAGCAAAAAGGTGATCAAGTTCCCTCCGCTTTTTCCTGTAACAGTTCATACATATAAATAACAGTTTCTAAAAGCGTCCGTGTAGTGG